TCTCCCGGATGGTGAGGGTGCAGTAGTACCACACCAGGAGGAAGTTAAAGACGGCATCTGTCACCCTGGTGTGACACAAAGGAGGGTGTAAAGGGGTGTGCTGGGAGCACTGGCACTGCTGTGCGACACCCAGCCCCCGTGGGCAGGGACCTGCTTCCCCCCCACCCACCACAGCCACAGCAGGACTGCAGCAGCCACAGAGGCCACCCCACCTCCAGGGCAGTGTCCAGATCCTTCATCAGGATCTCCTGTTCAGCTCTGGACCTTGCAGGATGGGAGAGGAGGACACAGGGACCCTGGGAGGAGATCTCTGCCCAGGATCCAAGCCAGACTCACCGGGAGTTGAAGAGGAACCGACAGGAGGAGGAGACAATGAGTAGGATGATGGTGAGGTAGAGCTTGAACTTCTCATATTCATCTTTATAAGCAAACCTGCAGGGAGGCACAAGGACTTGGAGCAAAGTGGCTGCTGGAAGTCTCTGTCCTCCCATCCTACCCAGCTGGACAAAAGTGATGTTTCATTGGGAACCTCTGGAACACACCTGGGAAAAACCTTGCCTTGGGGGTATTTCTGAGAGAAGAATGAGAGGAACACACCAGGCTGCTTCCACACAGGTGGGACATCTTCAAGCACTCCAAACCACCCCAACCTGTCTGGTGACCCAGGCTATGGGGAAGCTGGGCAGACTGGAGTCTGCACAGGTCTCCAAGAGGAGGATTGGGGAGCAGAAGGAGAAGGACACAGGCTCCTGGCTGGGCATCTCTGCCATGGGGAAGGCTCTCCTGGGCCAAAACCAACCACTGGTGTTTCCCCAAAGGAAGAGGAGGGGGGCTATCCACTGCCTGTCTTTCCTGGAAGTGCCTAACACAGCGGAAACCCAGGCATGGCTTTGGTGGAGGATCCTTTTTAGCTTGTCAGAGCTAATGGTCCATCCCAGCCCAGTGGCAGGAGCTTGAGGGGGAGTCAAGGATTTGGCTGATTCTGTGAAAGGCTGCAGAAAACAGCCCAGGAAGGGAATCTGCAGCAGGTGGGCCAAGCCAGCCCGGTGTCTGCCCAAGAGGAGCTGTTGTCCCTGGTGCCAAGGGGACCCCGAGCCAGGCAAAGCAGAGGTGGTAGCGAGGAGGGAGCCGTACTTGGCCTGTTTGCTGAGCAGTGTGACGTTCACATTCCCGAGCACCAGACTCAGATATAACCTGGGGAGAGAGCAGAGGTGTTAGGGTGGGGACCTGCCCGTGGAGCTGTCCCCTCTCGTGCCACCGCTGGGGCCAGGGATGAGCTCCCAGCTGATTTCCCCTTGGAGCTGCCAGGCACAAACGCTCTGGCATCTCCTCCCCAGGGTAGGGGGACAGGTGGCTGAGCACACACCCCACCTCCTGTGGGCACTGGGGTGTTCCCACCCCACACAACCACTGTCCAGGGGTGGATGAAGGCCCTGAGCAGGCAGAGGAGTGAGGAGGAAGAGGGCAGTGCTGCAGAGGCTCAGCCTGGCTCCTGCCCATGTGTCCTCTGGGGAGCCCAAGTGGAGCAGCAGAGCTGTGACACCCCCAGGAGCAGGGTGACAGCAGCCTTACAGCCACGGGGATGCGGAGGGTGGACCTGGTGTTTCACCCAGAGCTGAGGTGCCTCTTACCCATTCTTCTTTGGCAGATAGGCCTCCATCTCAAAGAAAACGTTCTGCCTCTCTTTAATCAGGTTCTCGGCCTCTTGGATGGAAGATTCCTGCTCGGGGCTGGCGTGGGCTTTGCATCTGGGGAGCAAACACAGGCACTGGCAGCACGAGAGCCTCTGCAACGTGATCAGCACGTGCTGGCACTCCACAGGCAAGGACACCCCAAGGACAGCAAAGGTGGATGGGAGGCACGTCCATAACTCTGTCAGGCTGGGACGTTGCCCAAGAGAAGGAAGCGGGAATGGGAGTGAGGTGAGGCCTCACCCTCGAGGAAGGACAGGGAGAGCTTGGTGCAGGAGCAGGGCAGGTCGTGGTACCTGCAAAGCCCTTGCAAGCTCTGAACTCCAAACGGGGCCCAAACTGGGGCACAGGGAAGGGAGGTTGGGGAAGATCTGCCTCTCACAGCACTTTGCCATGAGTGAGGCTGCAGAGAGGTTTGTATTTCAGACATGAGGTGAGTTCAGTAGCACCATCCTTGCCTCTCTCCCCTCCCGTGCTGTCACAGGACACCAACTTACTTTTTGAGGGAGAGTGAGAGCTCCTTCAGCCGCTTCTTCTGCCGTGCAATGGAGCTGGAGATCCCATCCTGGAGCTTGGTCAGCTCCTCGAGTTTCTGCTTGTACAGCCTGTGGTTATCCTGGGAAGGAGAGACCAGCAAGCATTAGACCTGCCTGCTGAGACATCCCTGTCTTTGGGCCCTCCATGGGGGCACTGCTGATGTTTCTGTAAAGAAATGTTCTTAATTTCACCTGCACAGCAGCTGGGTGAGAGCAGGGCTGGCTGCAGAGGACCAGGTGTGTTTGGGGACAGCCTGCAGCCAGTCCTGCTTCCATGGGGATGCCCATCCCCAATCCCAAGGAAGGCATCTACAGTTGCAGGCACATCCACAGGACACAGCCTGGTCCTGCCCTTGCACATCCCTCGTGTCCAGCCCCCTCCAGCTGTGGGCTGTGAAAGTCCAGCCACCAATGTGGTGATGCTCTTGTGGATGGGAGACCACTGACTGTGCACAGAGGATAGGAAAGACTTGGAAAGAAATGCTGTTTGAGCCAGGGCTGTAACTGAGGGCTGTGGTTTAACCTGGAGAGGTGGCTTTGAGTGCTGGGATGGGATAAGTGACTCTCTCTGCCTCCAGGTTTGTGCAGCACCTGCTGCTGCCCTGACTTGTGGCTCTGGGCACCCCTGGGAAGCTGGAAGGAGCCTGTCAATGAGCTGGACAAAGAGGACGGACTCACAGCAGGGCTGCAGCCAAGTGCCCAGTAACCCAACCATACCTGGGAACGGCTGGATGCCACTCTCCACTATATTTAGCAAGGAGAGAGCGTGCTGGATCAATGCTGCTGCCTGTCCAGGTCAGCTGGAAAACAGCCTCACCTCGGCCACAGCAGCCTGAACGCCACTTCCACCAGGGAATTACACGCTGCTCGCAACAACCCTTGGACTAGACCTTGGCACCCAAGTTTTAGCTCTTATCAAGCACTTGATCAGCAGATTTAAAAGTTGTTCCCAAAGGAGAAAGGTGAAATTGAGAGCAGAGGAGGGAAACCTTCTCCCTCTGGTGACAAGCAGTAGCAGATCTGGATCCCAGACAGTCCCAGCTCCCCAGCAGTGATTTGTGTCCCAGATCTCTCCCAGGGCATTCCCTGCTTGGCCATCAAGCTTTCCTGCTCCCATCTGGAGTCACCTTCTCTTGCTCTGAAGTTAACTGTGAGCAAGTGGCTTTTGTGACAAGTCCTTTAGCTGTGTCAGCATCCCAGCACCACGCTCGGGGACAGCCTGGATCAGGAGCCACCCTGGCAGGAGGTTTCCAATAGGAAGGGCCAGCGCCGTGTGGCTGCACTCAGTGTTCGAAGTGGGTGACCCGGGACATCCATGCAACCCCTATGGAGCAAGAGGAGGTTTCTCAAAGCCTCCCTTGCCCCAGATCTGGGCACAGCAGTGACGTGCCTGCAACAACATCCGCTTCACCCCGCTCCCGGGGGTGGGAAGGACGGGGAAAGGGAACTGGTGCAGCTGCAGCTGAGCGACCTGAGCAGCAGCAGGGGATGGGGTTAGCCAACCTTTCCCTTGGGTGACCCTGTCTGAGCTGAACCCTGCCCACTCCTTCCCCCGGCAGCCCGCGCCCTGGGGATTACACAAAGCAGGTGGAAGCACCTCTGATACCTGTCACCTGCCTGGCACGGGGCCCCGGGTGGGCGGCAGGGCACGGGAGGGAGGGGGACGCGGTACGGAGGGTCGGGACAAGGAGCCTGGCCGCCGTGTGCCCGGATTCCCGTTGATCCCGGCCAGCGGGGCAGTTTGGCTCCCGTCCGACCCGAGCGGGGCTGACAGGGGCGATAAGGAGCGATGAGGAGCGTGAAACGGCACCGGCGCACCCCGTCCGGCCGTGCCACGCCAGCTCCCAGCCCTGGCACACCGGTGGGTCTGGGCTCTCCACGCCAGCTCCCAGCCCTGGCACACCGGCGGCTCTGGGCTCTCCACGCCAGCTCCCAGCCCTGGCACACCGGCGGCTCTGGGCTCTCCACGCCAGCTCCCAGCCCTGGCACACCGGCGGCTCTGGGCTCTCCACGCCAGCTCCCAGCCCTGGCACACCGGCGGCTCTGGGCTCTCCACGCCAGCCCCGCGCCGGGCCGGGGGCTCAGACGGGCGGACCCCGCTCCTCGGCAAGCGCCGTGCCCGGCACAGCCTGGCACCTCCGCCCCGCTCCCAACCGCTCCACCCGGGGGCGCAGGGCTGGGACACGAGGAAAAGGGGGAAGCGCCCGCGCTCCGGGAGGGAGCCGCCGGCTGCCCGCGGGACCCGTTGGCGATGCTGCGGGGGGCGCCCGCGGGGGATCCCCCGGGGCGCTGTGCCGGCCACCGCCGGGTGGCGGGGCGGCCCCCGAGCCCCCCGGGCGGGGATGCGGCGGTACCTGGATGCGCTGGAAGCCGTCCTGCAGCTCCTCCCACTCCCGCAGGCACTCAGCGGCCGAGGCGCCCGCGGCCATGGCGGCGATGGCGGAGCCCGGCCCGGCCCGCGGCCACCGCGCCGCTGCCCCGCCCCCTTCCGGACACGCCCACTGAGGGGGCGGAGCCAGCCCGGGGGGGCGGAGCCAACCCGGCCTGTAATTCCCATTCCACGGACTCTCCCTTTAGTGGGAATGTTTCTGCCAGGTAGGAGTAGTACTCTGGTATGGAGGCGCCGTGTATTTAAAGCAGTTCGCTTTCTGAGCAATTAGAAGTCGAAACCCTCGCTGTTTTTTTACCTTAGTGTTTAGGGTGCTTTAATGAAAGCAGTTAAAGGGACCCGAGCGTTGTAAATGGCAAACACAAGAGCACTAGGAAAGTGTTTTACGGATTGTTTTTATTTTGGGATGTCAGTGAGCAGACAGGATTGAGGCTTCAAAACTACCAGCTGTGCCAAGAGGTTTGGTTGTTGGATTAGAAGGTGGCAAGTGGGAAGGGTGGTCTTCTCAACAATTCAACCAGGGAGACTGTGGGTAGCTAAGAAGGCACTCGCAGGCTGCAGGGACTTCTGAATCAGGGAAATTTTGTTGACACTCTCCAGGCTGGAAGTGGCCACAGTCAGACTCTAAATCTGTCATTCCATGCTATGGATAAGGAACCTTTTCAGAGATAACCCTGCTATGGTTATAATCTCCTCTGCTTACCAAAACAGAGACAAACAGCCTGTAGTGGGTCTCATCCTGCAGCACTTGCATTCCCCAAACTGCCAGACCTTCTTCAGCACCGGTGAGTTCTCCAGGAGGCTCCAGAAGTTGACCCAAGGTACCATGGAGCTAAAGAGGAAAGCTTTTCCACTGAGGTCCTTTTTCAAACAGCACTCAAGTAGTTTTCTTGGTGGTGTGGAAGGGAGTGCCTTTCCCTGCAGAGTGTTCCCTGTCAGTAGTTTGGCTCAGAGATGTCTGTGGGGTTGGACCCATACACTTGGTTCTCCCAGGCCGAGAGCTGCTCCACAAAGCCCCGGTGGGGCCTCATGCTCGGTTTGCACTTCAGGAGGTAATCCCAAGCTCCCTGTAAGCAGAAGAGAAGGAAAGAAGTGTTAGGAATTGAACTGAAAGTCATGAAACAACTACACTTGTAGACAACACAGCTTTGTATTTGCTCCCTGTGCTGGGCAGCAAGAACCTGCAGGTAAGACTTTGGCTGCCAAAGCAGGACAGGCTGGATCCAGATGTGGACTTCAGAGAAGCCTGTCCCCTTCATACTCTGCTCTCCTGGAGAGCTCAGGCTGCTTTCATTACCTGGCAGGTATCCTGCATTATTTTATTTCACACCGATGGAGAAATCCAGGCCTGCATTTTCCACCCTAAAATGCTGTTCCTTCCACGGATGATGAACGAAGCAGTGAAGTATCAGCTATTCACAGGTAAGCAACAAAGGTTATCGTGGTTTTGGATTGGTGTGACCTGATGTGGCAGAAGCAGCTATGACCCTGCAGTTATCCCACTGCACTAATTACAGCCATCCTAACTATTTATTAGTTGCAAGTAATCACCTAGGGACTCTGACACACACAGGGCAGATCCACCAGCATTGCTGTGCATTACTTCAGCTGCATCCCCTGTGTTTTCCCAACAGTGCTCATATTCCTGCTTGTAAAAGAGCTTGCCCCCTGCACTTGGAGTGTTGCTTAAGTGTAATGAGACCAAAGGTCAGCAGATAGTGCTCCATTGGTTTGTTTTTCTAATCTCGGTGATTCTGCAGGCTCCGAGGCTTATCTTCCAATATTTACTCCTCTGGGACCACAGTGTGGGTGTCTCCAGTTCCCCTGGACTCCACAGATCTACTCACATATTGATTACTAACAGAATAAGGGGCCACACATCCCAAATCTGCCTTGCTTTTGGAAGCTTTCAAAAGATCTTTGCCTGGATTGGCTGGAGAATCAAACGGGAATCTATTGCACTGCTTTTGTCTGCAAGAAACAAACTTGCCTGCCAGGGTAATCCCCCCAGGAAAGCTTTGCCCAGCCAACAGTGGGCAAGCACTGCCCTGTCAACCTTTGTTGTGGTTTTTTTTTTTTGGCACTTAGTAAAATGCTGAGACCAACCTGTTGATGCCAACTGAGAGGAATGGCAAGGATCAGCCTTTGACTTTTGCACTGCCCTGCAAGCCCGGTCTGAAATTCAGAGTGCAAGTGGCTGGTTATCAGCGTGCAGGAGCAATTACACCCCTGTTAGTGCAGGGACTGAGCCGAGTCTGCAGCCCTGCTGGCACCCTCAGCCTCTAATTACCCACTGGCACACAGCCACGGATAGAGATTTCCTCTTACGTTGCAAACGTTTGCACAAAATCAATAAAATTATTAGATACAGGCCCAGCTTAAGTGAAGTTTGGACCAATCCATTCAAGCTCCCAGAGGAGACTTTCTAAACAGGGATAAGGAGATGCTGTTCAGTTCCCATGGGAACTCAGCTGCTCTGTGTTAGCAGGTACCCTGAGATGGTGCTTAGGGCAGCACAATGCCCATGTGTTGTATGGAGAGGGAGGAAGGGCACCAGGGGAGAGGCCACCAGGCTCATTCCCAGCCATCCTTCATCCATTTCTTACATTATTCAGAGCTATGGAGCAGCATGTACTGGCCATCTAACCTGTACATCCCTCCTGGGCGAGTATTATCCCGTTCCAGATTTCTCTACAGCAGTATCTGTGGGAGGGGATTGCTTCTGGAGAAATAAAATGAGGTTTCAGAAGAGGTCAGTGGCGATGCTGAAGTCAGTGGTAAATCAGAGCCCTGCAAACACTGGGTTCTGAACTTCCCTGTAACGCCATGGAATTAAGGGATGGGATTAACTGCAGTAGTTTCCACTCTCTTTCTCAGATCCAGGAGAGAAATACCACATTCTCTAACCACAGCTTTAGTTTTATAGCCCTGCAGTTAAGAAGGGAAATGGAAGGATATCACAGGTGCCAGGGTAAGAACTCACAGACCCAAAATCACACTTAAGCCAACTCCTTAATGGCATAAAGAATATGCACTCTCAGATCATATCATCAGTTACATTATCAGGTGGATATTCTGCATGAAATCACAGACAGTGAATGTGTTACTACTACAGTGATGAGGCTTCAGAAAGAGAAATCGAGTGCAGACCCAGCCAGTCCCCGTGGGAGCTGTGACAGTGACGTACCTTCAGGGAAAGCCGGCAGGAATGCATGAGATAGGCCATGATGGCTGTGCTGCTCCGGCTTATCCCCAGGCTGGAGAACACCAGCACTGCTCCACCATCCATCTGATCATCTGAGGAAAGAAACGCCAATCACGAATTAATGATCTGGGAAATCAAGCTTCCAAAGGTAGAGCCAAGCACTAATTCGGTGACAGCTGACAGGCTGAGCGATGGGAGCCCTCAGGAACCCTGACAGCAGCAGATGGGCACTGCCAGCTCCTATTTCTGTAAGCATTTGCCTTTCTGAGAAATCCACTCGGTTAAAATGTGGCTTTGAAGACCAGAACCAGTGACAATAACCAGTCAGTGCTTCATTGCACATCAGTGTCACCTTTGCATCAGGGAACTGAAGAAATGTGGTCTACCATGATCCATCAGCTGTGGTCAGCATCACTCACATCACCTGCTCCAACCCCTCCCAGAAGGGCTTAAAGGTATTGAAATTTCTGATGAACAAAAGCCTGACTGCTCTCCATTCAGGCTGGAGCAATCAGCTCCCAAACTGAGGGGGGACTGAGACTTCAAATCCCTTCCCTCTCTCCATGGAGATCACCAGCAGGAAGCATGTACATGCCAGCTGGGGCACTGGTTTTATGATGTTTTTTATGACAGATACTTTGTGGTGAAAATTGCAAAGATCAGCAAACCCATTTGCTACTAAAGGATGCTGTCAGTGGCTCCTAACCACATTAACTCTGCTGCCTGTGCCTAGAAGGTTGCATATTTAATTAATAAGCTTTTAATCCTTTCTCTCTCTCTCTAGACAGCATGATGTTTTTAGAATATTAGCACCTGAACAACAGAATTCATTTGCTTTTTTTTTCCAAGCACTATAACATCATTTTCTAACTTATTTCTATAATGAGTTACTATTTCTGTTCTAAGACCTGAGTAGAAGTTGCCTCACTCCAACATACACCTGGCATGAGAATATCCACACTCCTCTCAGAGTGTGTGGAGAGCTTCAGTCTGGTGTTCACCCATAACTGATACAGTTTGAATTATCTGCTCTGAGGGCCAAGTAAACAATTCCACTATCAGGTAAACAGTGCAACACTTCCACAAGAGCTAAAGATAATAAACTCTTGTTGTCTGCCTTGGAAACTTCCACAAATTGATGGGAGAAAGAAACTGTCTTCTGAAACACTACTGGATAAAAACGTGGGGCACAACGAAAGCTTTGCAGGGAAGTGAATTTCAACATTTGGGTGCGTGCAAATCACGAAATCCAGTTCAGGACTACAAAGTTATATCCTCAAATGTTGTTTCCTTGTTTCTTTGTGTCCCGCTGTCATTTCTGATATTGTACTTGGATTATAAGGTCTGTGGGGACAGGGTGGTCTTTTGCTTCTGAACAACACTCGGCTCAGCAGGGCCCTGGCCTGTGGCAGGTGTTATCTGATAAGTGTGATAAAAGATAACGGCAGGGTTTGACAGCATCACAGGATGGAGCTGCAGGAGCTGTGTCTGCTGTGCAGCTGCAGGCACTGAGCTGGAGAGTGTGTTTTTTCATGCCCAATCTGATGTAATCAGCCAAAGGCAGGTTGATGCCGTCCAACCTGAAAGTCTTCTCAGGCCCTACCGTGGGTCTGCACTGCAAATCACAAAGATTAGCAGCACCTTGTGGGAAGTTCCCTAATGTGGGTCACACTCTGGTTCAAATAAAGCTGTGGTGGTTGAAGATTTGGGCTGGTAAGAGTCAAAGGGTTATTGCAAAGGAATAAGAGGGAATCCTACGGAGCTCTGGTGCACACTTTGCAGCAAAGCCTTTCCAGGTCAGGTGGAAAGCTGCCTGTTACCAGAGTGAGGGTGAGCAGGAACATCAGAGTCAGATGCCCTGTGAAATCTCCTCTCTGTCCATCAGGCTGGATAGTGAGGCAGGTCCAGCATCCATCAGGGTGTGGGCTTGCTTGGGAGTGTACTGATCGTGAATGATTACGACCCTGCTGCCTGAGCTTCCTGTTGCAGTGAATTGCCGTCACTCCCATCTAATACCCTCGAGTGAGCAAGGTCTCAGGAATTCCAGATCAGGATCAACTCACCTATGAAATGAGAAATGATGGGAAAGAAAGAAAAAAGATCTGCTTCGAGTGAATCTGGAACAGATATATGGAGAGATTCACCATCTTCTGCAAACCTGGAAAGAGAGCACACAGACCACATGGACCAGAGAAGCAGCTTTGAACAAGATGTGTTTGTTGGAGGCAAGGTGATAATTTTGTTTGCTGTTACACGTGTAAGTTTTTCATCATCATCATTATCAACATTATGATAAGGGATTTGTTATGGTGAGACACCAAGATGTTTTTAACACAGAGCCAGTTTAATTACTGATTTTCCACTTCACGTGGTATCAGCATCACTGTCTTAACCTACAGCTTCCTTTATCTGAGAGATAAATGCAAACAGATGAACTGAAAGCCAGAGTGCCTTCACAGCATGTGAGTGGTGGCTGCTTTGTGGACAGAGCCCCCCCATGTCACTTGGTGTGGTTCTCTGTGACAGCATCTCCTCCTTCCACAAGCTCAGGGAACCCAACTGGGAGAACTCATAGAGCAAAACACTGGTGAGGAATTTCCAAAATGTAAAAGCACATCATGCAGAGGGCATGGGAATATTACCCACAGTGCATAGACCTTTCTCTGGAGCCAAAGGCATGAGAAGTGTCTGCTGGGACACTCGTCCTGGGGTGGGTAATTGGATTTGTTGCTTACTTTGTTTGGGTCACCTCCTTGAGAAATGCCACTGGATTTTTCACTGTGTGAAATGGCATTTCCAGCACAACCTGCAGACTGAGCTGAATGGTCATGGACAGAGGAGGAAGGAAGGAAGACCAGCAGTGTGACACATGGGTGATTTAGCTTTTACACTGATGTGTTTGCAAGATTTTGTTCTGAAAGCTATTCAGAGATACAGCTTTTTCCTGGAAAATGGTAGTATGTGTGATAGACTCGAAATGCCAAGGGCTTCCCCATCCTCTCACCCAACCCACCCATGGCATGGTCAAGGGCTGCAGGACTGTATTGTTGCTCTGAGGTAGAGATTGGAAAAATGAGCATGAAATGGCACTGGAATCTGCAGTGAACAACAGAGGTTTCCTTGGAGTTCAGAGACCGACTCCTCTGTGAACAGACTCTGTGCCACCTCATTTTTTCACATCACAGACACTGGTGAGGGTAAACCTTGAAGTGTTTAACTTACAGTGTTACAGGCTGTTCAGAGACGTTGACTAGTGCTTTGATCCTCAGATCTTTCTGAATTTTTTGGTCACAGGCCTGCTTGAAATTGCCCATATATAACTTTAAGGGCAGTATTTCTACAGGGTACGGCTGGAAGTTGTCCAGTTCCTGCCGGAAAGAAACCATAGGCTCAGGTTAGAGAGGGTCTTTGCTCCCGTTAGCTTGCTAAGTTCTTAAACAGAAGTCATGTGAAGAATTGAACAAGCACTTAGTCAACAGCCCATGACACAATTTAGTGTAATGATTCATTCAATCACCTGGACTTTCTGTATATTGAAGTCTTTACTAGATTTACTGAGAATAATTAACGGCGTCGCTGTCGTTGCGGCGTTACTTGAAACCAACCCTGACTAAACAGGAGGTGGAATACATCCTTCCCATCGTCTGCAGGGACTGCAGCGTAACAGATCCATTTGATGTTCTCCCTGGTTGCTGTTTGCAGGGCTAAATGAAATCATCTGCCACCTGCAGAGCTGCAGGTGCCCTGTAGTGGCACAGCACAAGTCTGCAGCTGCTTCCGGCGCCTGCAGCGTGGAGGCTGAGAATGAAAACACACAAGAAAGCCTCGACATCCTTAATGGATACTCTGCACAGAGCAGCAGCCCAAACCAACAGTGAACAGCTTGAACAGAGAGGCAGGGAGGTGCTCTGTGTCCATGTGAAGCTCAGCAATGTGTTGCCCTTCACAAAGCAGCACAAAGCGAATCGATTTTGCCTCCTGTGCTGCAGCATCCCCCAGGTCAGCACAGTGTCACGGGCTTGTTTCATGTGAATCAGGAGGGAACAAGTGCAATGAGATGCTTTCTGCTGACCAGCACCTTCTTAGCCTGCCCTGCCTCAGGTCCTGTCCTAGATGTGAAAGAAAGGGTGATTGTTTCTCGTGAGCTAAACAGATCGATGTTTGCAGGTGAAGCCAAATATTAGGATACCAGTGTTTGAGTGGATGGCTGTTTTCTTTCTGGGCCTATTGAAACAATGGACCAGCAGTTGCTTTGTGATCCTTCCCGATGAAAACACATGGAACACAGTGCTTGGTAGGAATTGCACTTCTGCCTGAAAACATTTGCTGTGTACTATCCCAGATAACCACGTGTGAGAGAGGACCCTGCTTCTTTTCATCATTTGCTAGTGTTTGTTCAGTTATCTGTACTCTCCCCAGGCCAGTTTCAGGGTTATCAGGAAAACATTCCCAGGTTGTTTCCATGGGCTTTCTTTCAAGCAATGGAAGAGGGAAAAGTGTGGCTGCTAAAGGATCAGTGGTGAGACTCAGGGCAAGCACAGCAATTCAAATGACATTTAACTCCTCTGCCTGAAATTACTGTGATACTACATTTGCAACACCATTTAACTTGAATTCATCAGCCATCATCAGCTGAATATGAATGCTAATTCTACTTTCAGATTAGTCTCATGTCACCTGAGGCATCCACAGTGTCTTCTGAGTCCCCAGAAAAGGAAAACAAGCTGAAAAATGCCTGTACCCTCCCTTCAGGACAAGCACGTGGTGGCGGGTGAACTCCTGAAAGTTCCTGGCGTGTAGGAATGCAGCTCCTTCCTCAGTATCTAAGGAGACCAAAAAGCTGTTTGCCAGGGCAGGTTCAGTGTCTCCATCATCTGCCTCCCCAACACCCACAGCAATTCCCATTTCATTTCATTTAATGCTCTGTAGAAAACCTTGCTAAAAACTCGACTTATTCTGTACCTGTGTGCTGCTTTCACCTCTTGTCCTGATCTTTATTCCTCTCCTTGATTCTTCTGTAGGTCTAGAGAAAGGTGTTTGTGTTTTTATTTTCTCTCCCCTTTTTCCTTTGGGAAATGCTTGTAATAAGTTCCCACAAGAGGGAAGTATTATCAATTTAAATCTACTAATCATAGTTTTACAGAGGCCCTTTTCTTTAGTTTGCTTTAGGCAAAGGGAGGAAGAGAGAAGTGTCTTAAATCCCTCTCAAGTGTTTTAAACATTCTCAATGAAGTAAATTATGTGAGATGGCTGCTCCTCTTCCCAAGGGGATCCATCCTGCTTCCCTCTAGCTATGTCTGCTTTAGAAATAGATCAGCACAATAGAAACCCACTTCTGATTCTTCACACCTTCCCTTTAATGCCTCATCACCGAGCATTTAGGAACATCCTTGTTTTTTTCATTCCCCTTACACACCCACGTTTTTTTTCTTTGTAAAGTGATGTAAATCTTTGCTAAAACTACTGCAGACTTTGCAAAGCTCCTAAGAGCCAAATAAACATACAGAAGTTCTGACCACAGCAGAACTCCCTGCCGAAGGATGTGTGAAAGCTGAACGATTCCATGGTTCAAGGAGGGCTGAACAGTGACATGGAAAGGTTTCCAGCTCTTCACACTTCTCGGTGAACTCCATCAAATCATCCCCCCCATTAAAGGTAGGTCTTTTTAAGTGTCATGATGTGAGAGCCTTTTCTAACCCTCAGAGAAGGGAGTACTCACTCGGGGAATGCAGGGGACCTGAGCCACGGTTTCCAGTCTCTGAAGCAGCGCTGCTCCCTAAAAGGCAATCGTTGGACAAGCCCAGTCTCAGGGAAAGGCAGGGGGCAGAAAGAACCCATTCCTCACATGCAACAGGGAGCTTCAGGGGATCATCCACAGATGGAAACCACGCCTGCCAGGACGCTTTGAAACAAAACCTGGATTTTTGAAGACTAAGAACATCCACAACACTGTGAAAAACCAGAGGCGTAGAAGGGATGATCATTTCTCAAATAAAACTGGGAACATTTGCATCTCTTCCAATGAGCTGCATAAAGTTAAATGAGGAATGGGACGAGTATCTCTCTGGCAGTGAGGTCTTGACTGATATGGGTCCCACATACCTGTTTCTTTCTGCTCCTCATCACAGTCACAGTCGCTCAAAGAATTAGTGTTGAAGTCATACACCACACAGTGTCTGACATAGCCCAACTCCTCTGCATTCGGGATCAGATACTCCCCTGTAGGACCCTACAAAATCACAGAGGAATTCTGTCAGGAGCACAGCTCCACTCTGCTCTTGTGGCATCAACACTAGCGGCATCTTGCAAGCTGCAGCTCTCTAGCTACGTGTTGGTTTGTCCGTGTGGGTGTGGGTGACGCCGAGAGCCCCGGTTAGGAGCCAGAAATGATGCAAACCGCTCTGATTGCTTCATCACCCACCGCGGGGCAGATGCCAGCACTGTCCTTGCGAGACAAGGCTACAAGATGAGAGTCCTTGTGCAATATTTTTCCTGATATCCAGCCCCTGTGTGCCAATCCTTCGGGCTGCTGGGGCCGCCTTTGCTTTGTGACAGAATACGTCCCCCCAGCGGCAGCCACGGAGCACGGCTGGAACACGAGCACGGGAGAGGACGAGACGTTTCCCGGGGGTTTTAAGCCAGTTTTGGCTTCCTGCTAATTGCCAAGTCCGGGGGTGGTTCACACAAGCAATGCCCTCACCCGTTCAATCCTGCGGGCTGTAACAATGTGGCTCTCGTCGAATTCACGCTGAGTACGGGCATCTGAAAAAAACAACCGAGACACAGCAATTGGCCGGTAAAGGTGGAATTCTGTTTGTGAGTCGGTCAGCGGGAATTCAGGCACTGGCATCAGCCAGAGTAAGAGATTTGGGGCTGTGGTACTTGGGAATATGGTTTAGGAGTGGTTATGGTGGTGCTGGGTTGGTGGTTGGACTGGATGATCTTGAAGGTCTCTTTCCAACCTTGATAATTCAGTGATTTGTTTTTGTAGGAACTGAGGCTTTCTGATGTGGATATAACGACCTCCAGGATGGACAGGAGTGTGTGTGTAACACCAAGTGATGCCAGCAGCCTTAGTCCTGACCCAAGTGTGCCCCTGCATCGTTTCCAGCACCAGTGCTCTGCCTGTGCTTGCTCCAGAGAGACATCAACCCCACTCCCAAACTGGCTGACTCCTTCACCAAAACATTTAATAATATTGCAATATCAGACACCTTTTTTGGGGGTATTGGCACTATGCAAGGTGCAAACGCTTATGAGCAATCTTTTGAAACGGCTGAAAGATCTTGTCCACCTCTAAAATTGCTGGAGGCAGCGGGGGAGAGTGTGTATCCATGGGGTGGATCAGAGCAGGGAGAGCTGGGCATGAGGAAAGCCGGAGCAGGACCAGGCTGAGCACAGCGCCTGGCTGCGGGCAGGGGCAGGAAAAGCCTGGAGCAGCAGCAGGCAGGGGCAGGCAGGGACAGGCAGGAGGGGCAGGCAGGGATAAGCAGGAGGCAGGGACAGTAGCGGCAGGCAGGGGCAGGAGTAGGGACAAGTACAGGGACAGGCAGGGGCAGGAATCAGAAGACAGGGATGGGCAGGGGTAGGCAGGGACAGCAGCTGGCAGGGATGGGCCTATGCCGCGGCCTCACCCAGCAGGCACAGGTAGTTGGGCTCCGCCAGCCGCGGGAACCGCCGGCACTGGTTGATGATGTTGTAGAGGTGCCGGGGCTCGCAGAGCGCCACCCCCGCCATGCCAGGCGGGCTGTCGCCGACTATCGCGACACCCCGAGCCCGCGGCGCGGGAAGCGACGCCCGCCCGTCTCCAAGGTTACCGCCGCCCAGATCTCGCGAGACTTGCCGCTGCACGGCGGGGAGGGGGGGGTCAGATCTCGCGAGAGGCGGGGCCTCGCCGGCCGTGGAGGTCGTTGGAGTCACCGAGCGCCGCTCCCGCCGCTCCCACCATTCCCATTCCCGCAATTCCTGCCGTCCCCGCCATGCTGTCCCGCCTCAGCGCCGCCGCCAGCGCCGCCCTGCGCCGCGGCATCGCCACCTCCGCACAGGTAACGTGGGTGGAGAGCGGGGCCGGGCCCGGGGCCTCCTCCCAGAGGGGCTGCGGGGCTCGCGTGGAGCCCCGGGCCCTGCTCGCAGAGGGGATGGGGGCCGCCCAGGAGCTCAGGCTCTCCTCGGTGAGAGGCTGCGGGGCTCGGGTGGAGCCCCAGTCCGTCCCACTGAGGAGCTGCCAGCCCTGCACTGGACCCGGTTCCTCCCCGGTGAGAGCCTGTGGGGCCGGGGAGGAGCCCAGACCCTCCTCGGTTTCGGGCCTGTGGATCCCTGGGAGGAGCCCAGACCTGACGAAGGTCTCTCTCTGGTGGTGTGCGGTGGGTGATAGGCAGGTTTCCTGCTTCCTTCCTCTGGTGCAAACGTGCCCCTGCGTCCCAGATGTTTTAAGAACCAAAGCTGGTGGCTGCGGTTTAGCAGTAATCCTTCGTGTACTCGAAATCCGCTGTGCTGACCCCAAACCAGAGGAGAGCTGCTGCTGTGGTTGCATGGGTAGGGACCGACCTCTGTCTGACATTAATCGTGCCAGTGGGACACGACAGAGTGGTTATTGGAGCTGTAAAGATGTGCTGCACAGGAGAGGCTTGTGCAAGTTTTCTTCATAGGAACTGTATCTTTTAGCTGCGAGGTTTTGACCTCATGGTATCAGCTCAGTCATAAATGGGGCACAGAAGTGACTCATGCCAGACTTTGCTTTCCCTTCAAGAGTTCTGTGCAAAATTACATCTGTTACAATAGCAAGAAAACCGAGCCGAGGTTGGGCTGATCTAGCTCTTGGGTGGGTTATTCCTTGTCATAGCACAGTAATTAAGCTGTTCATGTCGGGACTTGGAGCTATTATGGCTTTATCTGGTAAGGCTCTGATAGAGAATGGCTTTTTCAGCAGTAATTGCACTGCCATGTTGCATCTCTGCAGGAGACTCTGGTTCTCCATCCCTTTGGCAGTGTGTTGCACTGTAAGGTTGTTCAGGTCCTTGAAAGTAGCTTTTATATCATCTGGCAATACCCTGCAAACAGGAGCACAGAGAGAGAAATAACATCCTGCTGGTACACGTGTGAGGGTAAAATCGGTTCATGGGACAGCCAAGAAGGGTTGATTTTACTTGATTCTCAGCCACATGATCAAAGCTGGAAGTTACAGTCACTTAATATTCTCAGGCCTTGATCTTGAGGCAGCTGCAGGTACTATGTTGAGTTTATTTCTGGCCTAAGCATTTTCTTCATGTGCATACAGTGGTTATTACATTTGTTGTAGTCTGTTAAATGTATTGATTTGCCAAATGGGAAGGCATTTTTTTAAATACTGTCAATATTAACAGTTTAGAGAAACTATAAAACAGATTTTATCCTAAGTTAGACCTGGGCCCTCAGGGTGGCAGGTATAAATCTCAGGCAGAGATTTCTGTGTGGAGAAAGGTGATCCTTAGGGTTCCTTTGCCCTAGCCTTGCTTCCCTTTTGAGCTTCAGGTTGCCAATAAGTTTCCTCCAACCTGTCCTGCCAGTAAACCCGGAGGATCCCTGGGGGGCTCTCACGAGCATCGCTCTCTGTGGGCTCAGCCTGTCGCGTTTGCACAGCGCTCGGTGAAACATTGAGAAATGGAGCTAAAAGCAAAGAAAGCGTGGTGAAATCCCCAAGGTCACCGCTGGGGTGGCTGCCAGGACATCTCCAGCCCCGTGTTTATCGCCTCTTTCCCGCAGAGCAACGCCAAGGTAGCAGTGCTGGGGGCCTCGGGAGGCATCGGGCAGCCCCTGTCCCTGCTCCTGAAGAACAGCCCGCTGGTGAGCAAGCTCAGCCTCTACGACATTGCCCACACTCCAGGCGTGGCCGCCGACCTCAGCCACATCGAGACCAAAGCCAGTGTCAAAGGTACTGCTGGGAATGCTCCGTGTTCCCCAGGGATCCTCTCGGGTGGCTCTGGTGCTGCGTCGCCGGGTTCTTGGGAAGGAGGATCTTCACACAGCCTGGTGTCAGTTTAAGTAGCTTTTTCCTTGAGCAGTGCATGATTAATTAGGGTTTAACTGATTAGATTGACGTGTATGGAGATGAAAATGGCCTGTGGTTGCACTGCTGAAGGGGAATTTGTGATATCTGGCAGGAAACACTCAGTGAAGTTATTTCTGAACAAAGCCTGAGTGTTGAATTTAGAAGTTTGACTACAACTAGACTGAACACTCCCTGGGTTTCCACATGAATTCCACATGTCCCTTCTTTTCTGAAGGGACACTGTCAGGTTCTGATGAAAGCAAAACTTACTCTGCTGATCTTTATTTTATCTGAGGATCTCCAGAAGGTGACATTTTACTTGAATGTGCCTGTCTGAAATTCTCTGGGGCCACTGATTCTCATGCCAAGGATTTTGGAGAGTAAATACACATAGCAGGAGGAACTGTGAGATTCTCACCATTCTGGTTCTGTAAGTTTTGAAACAAGGATAAAGCATCAAATGGGACCCATCCATAATTGTGTTTCTTTGCTTCTCAGCGGAAGTTTGAATTGAAGGCTAAATTAAAAAAAGGAATTGGATGCCTCTGGGTGTAATTTTGTACTTCAAAGTATCAGATACTTAATAACACTGGAAAGCATAATGCCTGAGTGTCTTCCATTTCAGGCTTCATGGGACCTGAGCAGTTGCCAGAATGTCTGAAGGGCTGTGACGTTGTTGTTATTCCGGCAGGAGTTCCTAGAAAACCAGGTATGTTCTCTTTGTTGGAAAGCCCCAGGGCTGCTCTGAAGTGGATCTCTGCAGTGCTGCTGCTCAAATGGAGCTGTGTCTGGTGCTTTATGGTGGTGGTGGCTTGGGGTGTAAGTGGTCTGTTAATGCCCATGACCCAGAGCTGCTTGTGGTATCAGGCAGCTCATTCAGCCCCTCTCTTAGACTGTCCCTTGTGAAATGGGCAGCATTGATTTCTGGAGTTCCCACGTGGGGTTGAGGTGCAAAGACCTTTCATGGAAGTGATCCTACATCTCCCTTTAGTGTTTCTTGCCCTGGGGCAATGCTCGAGGAATAAAAACTGGTTCATTGTTTCATTTCTCAGGAGAACAGAAATAATCTGTTTGTATTGCATCAACTGTGCAGTAACTTCTCAGGGCATCTCTGAATAAATGCTGTCAAGCCTTCATAGTATGTCTCTGACCTGCTCCTTTTCTACTCTGTTTTTCAGTATCCTATTTGGAATGTAACAAAATTCTAGACTTTAATGCCTAGCTCTTCCTAAATCTTCATTTTTCATGGTTCAAGGAGTTGCTGCAACAGAAATGGGAGGTGGCACTTACACAACCAGCAGTATTTTGCACGGAGCAGCTGGCATTTAAACAGGAGTTGTGGAGGTGATTTGAGAGAAGGAAGAGAATTCATCTTGGGAGCAGTTAGGCTGCTCTGAGTACCAGTGGTGTGGGTGTGTGTGGTCACCCTGTACTCCAGGCACTGTAGGTGAAATACGTTCTGGCAATGGGCGGCTGGGCTGTTTGCTCCTGAAAAGGGCTCATCCGTTTGTTAGCAAGAGGAGTCATCTTTGGAGCCAGTTCATTACTGCAGCTGCAGAATTTACTCTTGATCTATGAAACCAGGAGCTGATGTGTCTCTGTCCAGGTTTTTGACTGGGGTAGACTGTGGGTAACGGGGCACTGCACTGGCTGTGTTTCAGGTATGACTCGTGATGACCTGTTCAACACCAATGCCAGCATTGTTGCCTCTTTGACATCTGCCTGTGCAAAGCACTGTCCAGAAGCCATGATCTGTATTATTTCTAACCCGGTAAGTGTTTTCTGAAGGCTTTGGAATGTAGAGGGGAAAGAAAACCCAACCCAAAATCCAGACTAAGAATACTAGAGTAATCCAAATTCTTTTTGAACAGTATCTTTAAGATCTGCAGTGTATTAGCAGAAAAGCCCTAAAAGCCTGGTTCTACTAACCCATTTTTCTTGGCTGTATTTAAGTCAGAGGAAACTTGGATCTAAAAGTGCTTAATATCTCAAAGTCTGTGTGACTGGTTATAATACAAGCTGGTGTATTAGCTGAGATAAAAGTCTTAGCTCTCTAAGGGAGGAGCCTTTGTAATGGGAATGAACAAATTTATTGTCTTAATGGTTATGTAAAATTAATGACTTTTATTCCAGCCTGACTGTAAATTGCTCTTCAATTTAGGCATTAAAGTAATTGGCTGCAGCTGATTCCAAGCTGGAAGTGTAATTTGGGTTGTTTGTTGGCCTGTTTAAGTTCATGCGTTGGCTTTGTTATCATACTGCTTTTAATCAGTGCTTTCCTCTTCTTAACTGATAGGTAAATTCAACCATCCCAATAACTTCAGAAGTCTTCAAGAAGCACGGTGTGTATAATCCCAACAAAATCTTTGGTGTCACAACGCTGGACATCGTCAGAGCGAACACTTTTGTGGCTGAACTGAAGGCAGGTCATGGTTAACAGCTGCTGGGGGAGGGACACTGCCTGCTTTGGGATCAGATCTATCCAGAAATGCTTCCAAAATCACTGCAGAGAGCCAAAGGAGCTCGGATTTCTGTGGAGCCAGAGGCGAAGGCAATGATTCCCTGCCTCCATTCTCTAGAGGAGCCTGGAGATAAGGTTTCTTGCAAAACGTGGTTCAGGAGACTTTGACCTTTCCTTTTCATAGCCCTGTGAGTGAGCTACGTGTTCTCCTTAATTCCACTGGCATTTCCAACCCCTGGTGCAACCGGAGGAGAGGGTTGAGTCGTTGTATGTGTTTGCAAGTCAAACTCTGTGCTGTGTGTTACAGGATATTCTGCAAAGTA